TGTGAAGGGCAAAGCACCTGATAATGCAGTCAATTGTGGAATCTGGGGCTGTACAGGTATGTCACCAGCAGGCGAGTTGGTTCCACCTTTAGGGACAGGTGCATTGTAAGGCCTGAGATGATTGTAGTGAACAATTTGAGTCTTGTCTGATTGGTCCAGGAGGTAACGAATCTTGTACGTGACACCAGGGTTTTCTCCATCTGTTCCAAGGCACTCCAATATCTCAAAGGGGCCCTTCCAATGTGGAGCAAGTTTTTGCTTTGCTGTAGTGGGGTCATTTAACCACACCAAGTCACGTGTGTGTTTGATGCCCCTATCGTACAGTTGTTTCTGCTGGTTGTGGGCATAATCTCTGTTCCATGCAGCAGTGCTGAAGGCAGACTGAAGTCTCTGAGTCAACTGGATGACGTAGTCAGCAGGAGAAGCAGAAGTAGATGATGCTGGCATGGTGGTAGGCAACAGCATATTAGCAGGCATCCGTGCCTCATGTCCATGTGTGAGAAAGAATGGCGTGAACCAAGTGGTAGAGTGAGGACTGGTGTTGCCAAAGCAACTTGATTGAGGCAGTCATCCCATTCGCCAGGCTGCTGAAGGAGTAACTTAGCTAACTGGTCAATAAGTGTTCAGTTGAACCTCTCGACCATCCCATCACATTGAGGGTGATATGGGCTGGTCCGTGTCTTCTGGATGCCTAGCAGCAGACACAGATGTTTCATCACGTCAGATTCAAATTGACGTCCTTGGTCTGTGTGCAGCATTTCAGGGACGCCATGCTGACAGATGAAGTTGTATTCATCTGTCAGCATGGCAGGCATTTTGCAACTGTTGTGGCACGTTGGTCTGGGATAGCATAGAGGTTGACATATTTTGAGAAACAGTCTTGAATACCCAGCGCATACCTGTTGCCACGACTCATAATGGTGAGTTCAAGTATGTCAGCTGCCACCTTTTGAAATGGCTCCGCAGCAACAATTGTTTTCATTGGAGCTCTGTGATGAGGTGTGGGATTCCGTCTGGCATCACATGGAGTGCATTGTGTGCACCATATTCTGATGTCCTGTGACATGAATGGCCAGTAATATAGCTGCTGAGCACGTTTCAGGACCATCTCTGCTGATACGTGACCAGACTGGGTTGCCGTGCAGCAGCTGTAGGACAGTGTCTTTTAAAGATTCAGGAACAACCAACTGATGCAACACTGACTTTTGGGATGGGTTGAAAGCTCTACGACAGAGTAAGCCATTGTGAAAGGTAAGTCTAGAGTACTCATGCCATAGCACTTTTTCCTGAGGTGGGCATTTTTCATACACCAGTAGGGTGGTTTCCGACCCTTAGCTTTCCAGCCAGTGACTTCTGACAGTACAGGATCTTCTTGTTGTTCACTTTTGAGATTATCTTCAGGCAGCTCAAGCACAAATGTGGATGACACAGATAGCACTGCACACAGCAGTCGTGGATCA